CCCCCTAAAATATGATGATCTAGCAGTCTGTATAAACTTGATGTTTGGGACACATTTGCTAATTCCTCACTTCTATAACTTTCTACCTGGAAAATATAAGCAGTAATTCCCCCATCATCAGCAATGTTTTTAGCCCTCATAATGTTATCCGGTCTTTGGATTAGCAATAGCCTCAGTGTTTCTACCTAATAACACAAAGAAAAATCTTTAGGGGATCTGTTACTGGGAAGTTTGTTGTTCTCCCCAAATCTTTGCTTAATCAGTATTAGAGACAGTTCATAGACCAGCCACTTAAATATAACTCCTTCACTAATTTAAAATTTTTCTAGAGGGGGGGGGTGGGCTGGGGTGGAGCTGTTAGCCTGGCCACCCGTGGAATGCAGCGACCTGAGGCCTGGCCATGACCACACCCTGGGAAGTGGGCCACAGGGACCCAGGCTGGGGTCCTGGCGCTGCCCACCCGAGCCAGCAATCCCTCAGGGCTGCGGTTGCAGGAACACTTTCTCTAAACTGTCAAGGTTGTTTTCATCCTAGAGAATGATGGACACCAGCTGCTGGCCAAGTATTACTATGACATGTTTTCCTCCTCCAAGGAGCAGATGATCTTTGAGAAAAACATCTACCACAAGACCAGCCAGACTCAGAGACGGCATTTGGGGCAGGCATGACCACTGTCTATAAAAGCAGCATGGACGTCTTCCTGTATGTGGTGGGTTCCTCTCAGGAGAACGAGCTCATGCTTCTGTCTGTCCTCACCTGCCTGTTTGTGGCTCTGAGCCACATCCTAAGGAGGAACATGGAGAAGAGCTGGCTGCTGGAGAACCTGGATGGGGCCTTCCTGGTGCTGCATGAGATTGTGGACGCCGGCGCGATCCTTGAGAGTGATCCCCAGGAGTGGTGCAGAAAGTGAATTGCTTGGCGGATGACAGCAGTCCAGTAGAGCAGAGCATGGCCCAGGTTCTGCAATCCACCAAGAAACAAATTAAATGAAGTGAAGGCAATCCTGGCCTGATTCCAAAGACCCCAAGGGCTCCATGTGTTGTCCCCCTTCCCTGTTGCCCCAGGGAACCTGCAGGCCAGCTGAGCTGTCCTTCCTAGCCCCCAATAAACCTGCTTTTTCTCCTGAAAAAAAAGAACAACATTTTTCTAGATGTCTAATAGATTTGGAAAAGATAATTTATCAATAGATACTAAGTTATAGTAATGTGGTAGAGCTTTTAGTGTTAGGGTCAGTCCCACAATTGTTTACAAGGTTTTTAAAATTATGTATTTTGGGGCCAGGGAGATGGCTCAGTGGAATAAGTGCTTCCCTGGCAAGTGCAATGGCCTGAGTTTAATTCCCGGTTCTGCCAAAAAATTAATAAATAAATAAATAAAAATAAAATTATGTATTTATTTATTGGATACAGGGTCTCACTCACTATGTGGTTCAGACTCATAGTGATCCTCCTGTTTTCAGCCTCCCCAATGCTGGGATTACAGGTGTGCACTACTGTGCTCAGTTTCAGAGCTCACACTGTGTGCCTAGGGTTTGGGGCGGGCAGAGCATGTGGCCCCTATTCCTCCAGCCCTCTACACTTGTTTACAAAATGTACTGAAGGTGGATAATACATTTTAGGATTGAAGGAGGTAGACACTAGTTAATCCTTTTAATTATCTCTGACAGTATTTCATTTAAAGGTTTTTTTTTTTTAAATTGAAATGACTTTTTATTTTTATTGGTGGAACCAGGGATTGAACTCAGGCCCTGGTGCTTGCCAGGGAAGCGCTTATTCCACTGATCCATCTCCCTGGCCTCATTTAAAGGTTTGCTAACTAAGATATATCAGAATTGGCCAATGAGGATTGCACAAAATTTATTTCAAGCTATCTTCTGTGACAAAAATATTTGAGCATCATAAAAATCATAATGGAACAAGAAAAGAAACATTGAGATAACTTAAAATTTTTTTAAAATGTATTTATTACAGTGTCTACAGGGTCTCACTACGTAGATAGGACTTATAGTGATTCTTCTATTTTCAGCCTCCCAAGTGCTGGGATTACAGGTGAGCACCACCATGTCCAGTCTCAATCTGGGTCTCAGCATGCCCTAGGGGCACAACCGGCAAGGCACGCCAGGGATTGAATCCTGGTCCCTGTGCTTTGTCTAAACAGGCATTTTAGTCCACTGAGTTATCTGGCTGGCCCACATTGAGGTCATTTTTATGTGTAAACATGTCCTCATGTTTTAAATATGTAAAGCACCATGTTTAGAGGTCAGCATATGAAACTATCATTTCTATAGAATAAGTAAAATAAGGTTTATACTGAAAGGACATTTGAAAAATTTATCTTGAAAATGAGGAAATAAGTCATGCTGCAAATTTTATTTATTTATTTATTTATTTGCGGAACCAGGGATTGAACTCAGGCCCCTGTGTTTGCCAGGGAAGCGCTTATTCCACTGAGCCATCTCCCAGGCCCCATGCTGCAAATTTTAGATGAATCATGTTACACTGTTCAACAAGTTATGAACAAAGACAGTATTGTGACCTAGAAGAACATAATCTTTCCTTTAAAATTAATATAGGAACTTTTCTCCTTTTAAGGTGGGCGGTGGGCATTTTGTCTCAGCCCAGGAGAAAAATAACGATGTTGCAAGTGTCTCCTACATTTTGATACAGGCACTGGGATACAAAGAACAAGGAAGAAAAGCTTCCTACTACTGAACTTTTAATCTAGTATAAGGAAGGTAATTAACAATACACAAATAAAGTGAATTTTGAAAATGCTATTCATGTTTTAAGCAGGTACCTTAATTAAGGTGCAGTTGTGACTATTTCAAAGAATAGAAATTAAGTGTTAAAATGGTTTTGATGCTCTAGCAAGCAGATCATATTAAAAGAAATACATGAAATCAGTATAAAGAAGTATACACTTGCATAGTTACACCAAAATACGATTAATGTGGGCCGGGGAGATGGCTCAGTAGGATAAGTGCTTGACTGGCAAACGTCAAGAATCTGAGTTCAATCCCCGGTTCCGCAAAAAAAAAAAAAAAAAAAAATAGGATTAATGCATTTGATAAGCACCTGACCATTCATAGAAATGACAAGCAGAAAACAGGGAAATAGAAAAGGTGATGTGAAAAATGTCAAAATAATTTATAAATTACTAGCATGTGAAACAGGATAGCATACTTCAATTGTATACTTTGTTTCAACCAGACTGGGTATCTATCAGGCAATTGTCAGCAGACTTGTGCTGCCCAAAGGTTTCTCTCTCTATTTACATTTGTATCTAAGTGAAGCACATTAATAAGAACCACTTCTGGTCCAAAATAAAAATAAATCTAGAAGTTTGGTTCTCCTTTGGGCATTTTAACAATTAATATAACACAGGAGGCCGCACGTTTAGATACTTAAAATCCAATCCGTTTTTTGATACAAAATCTTGTAGCAGCTCCAGACAGGATGGACTCTACAAAACATTCAAAGTATTTCCAGAAGAAAAAGAAAAAGAAAACCAACAACAACAAAAAAAAACCTTTCTGAGAGGACGTCCTTATCTGATTACGTCCAAGCCTAGAAACTACTTGTCCCCACAGCAACTTTGTAATTAGTCCTGGCTCAGCTAGGGGCGAAACTTTTTTTTTTTTTTTTTGTCTGTTTGCAACAGGGTTTCGCCTTGCAGTTCAGGCTGACTTTGAAGTTACTTTGTAGAACAGGCTAGCCTTGAACTCACAGCGGTCCTCCTGCTGTAACCTCTGGATTGTTGGGGTTACAGGCATGCACCACCACGCCCGGCCCCTTACAGCTTTTTAAAGATGTTTACTCATTTATTTGGTACAGGCTCTCTCTGCGCAGTTCAGACTCATAGTGATCCTCCTGTCTCCGTCTCGTCAGCGCTGGGACTCTAGGCGTGCACCACCACGCCGGGTTTCTGCGGACTGCACGGAACACCCGGGTCGGGCCGGCACCACCTGTGGTGATGGGCTCGAACTCGGTCCTTGCGCTCGCCAGGCAGGCGCTCAGACTGCCGGGCAGTCTTCCCAGACGCTTACAGCTTTCTTGGAACCTTTATCTCTTTTAAAACTAAAGGTTCTGACTGGAAGTGGTGGCGTGTGCCTGTAATCCCAGCTCTTGGGAGGCTGTAAACAGGCGGATCACTACCAGTCCGATCTAGTAGTGAGACCCTGCACACCCGGTAGACCCTCCCCTAAAATACATAAAATAAAATAAAATAAAAATAAAGGCTCTGGAAACATTGCTATGTTTCCAGAAAATAGGAGACGAGACCGCGCAGCAGAACTGCGTAGCTGCTCGCCGGCGCGCAGTTACCGCAAGCGCTTCCGCCTGGCGGCGCAGACTCCGGGGCTTGTTCCGTCCCTCCGCTCCGCCCCCGTCGCTCCCGCCCCGCGCCCCCTCCGCCGGGTTCCGCCCGCACCGCCCCGTGACGTGACGCGGGCTTGCTTCTTTATAAGGTGGCTGCGTCTTCGGACCGCTGCGGGGAGATTGGTTTCGTTCTCCTCTCTGTCTGCTTAGTGCAGCGGGTCTCGGCCAGCTTTGCACAGTCCGTCCTGGGTTCCTCCATTGGTCATCAGTAACGGGTCATCTTGTGGAGCAGAAGGACGAATAAAGAAATCGAAAGAGAGACGCTTGGCTCTCGGCCGCTTGGCGTTCCGGGCAGCTCCGCAGCTCCGGGCCGCTTTGCTGCTCCTCCGCCACTGCAGGGCTGCTCCGCCGCTCCAAGGGCCGCCCCGCGCCGCTCCAGGGCCGCTCCGCCGCTCCAGGCTGCTGCAGGGTTGCTGTGCGGCTCCAGGGCCGCTCCGCGCTGCTCCAGGGCTGCTCCGCCGCTCCAGGCTGCTGCAGGGTTGCTGTGCCGCTCCAGGGCCGCTCCGCGCTGCTCCAGGGCTGCTCCGCCGCTCCAGGGCCGCTGCGCACTGCTCCAGGGCTGCTGGGCCGCTCCAGGCTGCACCAGGGCTGCTCCGCGCCGCTTCAGGGCTGCTCAGCGCCGCTCCCGGCTTCTGCTTCGCTTCAGCGTTGAGAGGCTGGATTTGTAACCGTCAATAAATTGTAAGTACCCAGAGCAATGAGGGCTCACCGCGCTCCGCTCTTTCACTGTGTTTGGGGGAGTTTGCATTTTGGGGTTGCTTGCTGGATCTTGCTCCTTCTGAAACTAACTTTTTCTTCTGAAAATCACCTCGCAGGAATCGCCATTTACCTTTCTACCTGCTCGCGCGCTCAGTCTGCGTTGTCCGGCAGCGGCACCTAGAGGCTGGAAGCTGGCGTTGCACCGAATACGCTGATGAGCTTTGAATAAGCTGGTGTGTTTAACAAGGACTGACTGCTGTTCCCCTCACAGCATACAGTATTTGCGGGAAAGACTTGGTGCCTGATAAGTATTAGGATAAGCGTTTAGCTGACTGGTGTTCTGCTTAGAACTTTTTGTAATTAGTTAAATTTATAGCACACTAGACTTTAGCTGTTGTAATTTCTGAAACTTATTAGGAAAGTGAACCACCAAAAGGTAAGGATGAGTAAGAGCAAAGATGATGCTCCTCATGAGCTAGAGAGCCAGTTTATCCTACGCCTACCTCCAGAATATGCTGCTACGGTGAGGAGAGCGGTACAGTCTGGTCAGGTCAACCTGAAGGATAGACTGACTATTGAGTTACACCCTGATGGGCGTCATGGCATTGTCAGAGTGGACCGGGTCCCACTGGCTGCAAAATTGGTAGATCTGCCATGTGTCATGGAAAGCTTGAAAACCATTGACAAAAAGACCTTTTACAAGACAGCCGATATCTGCCAGATGCTTGTGTCCACGGTTGATGGTGACCTCTACCCACCCGTGGAAGAACCAGTTGCTGCTGCTGATCCCAAAGCAAGCAAGAAAAAAGATAAAGACAAAGAGAAGAAGTTTGTCTGGAACCATGGAATTACTCTGCCTTTAAAAAATGTGAGGAAGAGGCGGTTCCGGAAGACAGCAAAGAAGAAGTACATCGAGTCTCCTGATGTGGAAAAAGAAGTTAAGCGCTTGCTGAGTACAGATGCGGAGGCTGTCAGTACTCGTTGGGAGATAATTGCTGAAGATGAAACAAAAGAGGCAGAGAATCAAGGCCTTGATATCTCTTCTCCAGGTATGTCTGGCCACAGGCAGGGCCATGACTCACTGGAACATGATGAGCTTCGAGAGATCTTCAATGACCTCAGCAGCAGCAGTGAAGAGGAAGATGAGGCACAGCATCAAGATGAAGAAGATATAAACATTATTGATACTGAGGAAGACCTGGAGAGACAGCTGCAGGACAAGCTGAGTGAGGCAGGTGCACAGCACCAAGAAAATGAAGGAACCAGCCAACTGGTTATGGGAATTCAGAAACAGATTGATAACATGAAAGGCAAGCTCCAAGAGACCCAGGACCGGGCAAAGCGACAGGAGGATCTCATCATGAAAGTGGAGAACCTGGCTCTCAAGACCAGGTTTCAAGCAGTGCTGGATGAGCTCAAACAAAAGGAAGACCGGGAGAAGGAGCAACTCAGCTCTTTGCAAGAAGAGTTAGAGTCACTTTTAGAGAAGTGAGGATATTGTTCCTTTCAGTTGCCAGGCTAGCCAGTGATAGAAAAGTCTTGATTATATTACTTATACTAGATGTCAAGAACTAGTATTTCTTTTTCCCACTAATGCTAGAAGTTGAAGAATTTTAAGATCTTTTATTACAACCAGCTTGCTATGTATTTTCTTTGTATTCATTCTTTAGAAGGTAACATTATGTAGCAGAAAGATTGTTACAGGAAAGTTCTAGCATTGAAATGACTAGCTCAAACTTAACAGCTTCACTGAAATAGCAATATAATAATAAACTCAGTTAAATTTTTTATATTTTCTGATGCAATAGCTATTTCCTTAGCTAATCAAAAAAAATTTTTGTATGTAGAGATGCAAATCATGAGGTTATTTCTAACAATAAATAAAGGCAACTAATTTTGACCTCAGTGTATCTTACTCTTTTTTTTTTTTTTTTTTTTTTTTTTTTTTTTTTTTTTTTTAATGTATCTTGTTCTTTAATAGGTATTGGGGGTTAAGATGGGTTTTAGGTAGAATTTAATGACTGGAAAATGCAATCCTACCTAGCAGGTAAGCAAGGAACTGTGTTGGGTTTTCAGAAAGAGGAGCTCTGCAAGGGCAAACAGATTGGGAAATGTCATCTATGTATTACATATGGTTCCTGTCTACCTGTTCCATTCGGAGGAATATTAGATACAGAGCTTTCCTAAACTACCTTGTTTTTTGTAGGCAAAGGTCTTTTTGCATTTTTTTTTTCCCAGAACTGGGGATTGAACTCATTTTTTGCCTTTTGTTAAAAAAAAAAAAAAAAAAAAAAAAAAGCTTTGCTGTAAAATTTTTTGCAAACAATGACTATCAAATGTAACCCAATTAACCATTCCATTGATTTGGATTAAGATATTTCTAATTCTTTTCAGTTTAATTCCTTTAGTTACTTAGCATTCTGACAGCTGAGGTATTTTTACCTATCAATTCATAAAAATTGTCATATAGGAAGACAATACCATGGTTTGCTGTTTTCAGATTTTATTAAACTTGGAATTCTTTAAAGGTAGTGCCCTGTATTTGAAAGCTAGTTTAGGAAAACTCAGTGATAGAGCTCCTGCAATTCATTTCTGACAAATTGATATATTAAAAAAATGGTTTGAAAGTACCCCATGAAGTAAACATAAAGCTCATTTTAATTTTTTATCTGACAGGAAACAGTAATGAAGTGTTTTTAAGAATCATGCAATTAAATCATACAACCATGTCAGTATTTGGAGACCTCACAAGGATAACGTTTTTCATATCAGGTCATGTATCGTTGACCAAAATATTTTCACAATTTTAAGACATCCCTACAGTAGTTTTAAGCAAGGTTCACCTAAATGCCTAGGCTCTAGGCTTTTTCTTGTGTTTTGAAAATAATAAACTTCTAAAAAACATTAAGGTTGGTGGGTGACGAGCACTGTTTTTAGTACATCTTGGTGTTTTGCTACACTTACAAAAAGGACACTGGAAACGTTGCTACCACAATTGACTTTACAGTGAATCATTTGTCAAATAATTTATTAATATCAGTGATTGCCCAGTTCCATCAATAGCAGAACGGAAATATATTGAGCAGCCTACTGATCTTATACTTTCAGTCCAGTTATTTATGCTGATTCTCACATCTACATTTCTAAGCCAGATGTCATCTGGGCTCCACATTTAGTATGCTCAGTTGTGTCCTGGAAAACATACTTTTAAAATTACCCTATAAGGGGCTGGAGATAGAGCTCAGCAGTCCTTGCGCCTGGCAAGCTCATGGACTGGGGTTTGATCACCGGTAGCACATGCCATTGAAACCAGGGGTGGTGGTGCACGCCTATAATCCGGGAGGTGGGGGGAGACAGGAGGATCACTGAGTCTGACCTGTGTAGCAAAACTCTACCAAATAAAAGTTTTTAATTTTTTTTAAAAAGCACCCCTTAGGGGGCTGGGGAGATGGCTCAGTAGAACAAGTGCTTGCCTGGCAAGTGCAAGGGTCTGAGTTCAATCCCGGTTCCGCCAAAAAAAAAAAGCACCCCTTAGGCATTGAAGCTCTTCATGTTAAAAATGAAATGCATCTCCCCTTCCTTGGGAATTTGCTTTTTCTTCTGTGTGTCAGTGAAGATAAAAGCTACACAGCCCAGATGTAGGTGCATATTTGAATCCTGTTTTTTATTTTTGTTCATTTGTTTTTGTTTTGTTTTTTGGAATGGGGTTGTCTCGCTATGTAGTTCAGACTGGCCTGGAACCCAGTTTGACCCTCCTCCCTCAGGTTCCAGCATATGAGCCTTAGATTTGACTTCTTTTCCCCTCACTATGGATTCTACTTTTAAAAAGACATTTTTCATCCCACTGCGCTGTTTTAATTCAAGCCATTTTACTTCTTGCTTAGCAAACGTTAATAGCTTCCTAACTGACCTCGCAGGCTTTGGTTTTCTGGAACATAAGAAGGAAGGATTGAGACATTGTGCCATCCATGAAAAAGAGATTACCCAAAGCAGGGAGAGAACTGGTTAGGACATTCTCTAGGGGTGCTGCAGTAGACTCACTCTCATGAAGTGCTCTGAGTGGTGTGTTGGTCTGAGTGGTGTGTTGTGAAGAGAACCCCGGGAAGCCTGGCCCCCTCATCTCACTTGAATCAGCCTGCGGTCATGCATAGTGCTACAGGTGCCTCACTCGGTCCACAGGTGTACATTCACATGACCCTCTTTGGTAAACCTTCAGATGAAGGTTTATTCTGCTTTATGAGACAAGGTCCTGTGACAGTGCTGTTCTGAAGTTCTGGTTGTTATGAAAACTCTTCTCAGGTGCACACAGTGTTACAAAGAATGTTCAGTAGAGTAGCTCTACTGCGGGGTCCATAACACAACTCACCTCTTGCAGAAAACTTTTGAAATTTCCCTAACACCTCTGTTTCCATTTCTTTCTTGGCTGAAGCTTGTATCTTGACTCCCACTTAATGGTTAATAAATAAAGTGTATTTATTTTTAAAAATCCTGTTTTTTCCCTTGCTTGGGATGTGAACAATACCTTCATAGCTTTTTCTTGCACAAGAACCAAAGGAGGAAAGTTAGATTTATCTTTTCTCCTTGACAGATGAACGGCTAAATTCATAGTATATACTCAATTATTGTTACTATTTTAAGATAAAAATGAAACTAAACAAAAGTCAAATATTGATTTGAAATTAGAGGCCAGCTGGCTATATGAATGAACTGTAGTCCAAAGGAATCCAGTGCAGAGATATATTCTCATATAACTGAAGCAGATAAAATACCAACACAGCCATTGGTCTATTAACTGACATGAAAGTTAAAAGATATACAATATTTTTAAACACACAACTTTTAAATTGACAGCTTTTTTATGTATTTAGTACAGGGTCTCACTATGTAGATTGAATTTATAGTGATTCTTCTGTTTTTAGCCTCCCCAGTGCTGGGACTACAGGCATGCACCACCACACCCAGTCTCAATTGCCATCTCAGCATGCCCCAGGGGTAGAGCTGGCATGGTGGGCCCGGAATCAAACTTGTGGCTGCTGCATCTACTTAAGCAGGTGTTTTAATTCACTGAGCTATCTGGCTGGCCCTTGAAATTTACACCTTTATAATAACTGACTTTTATGTTTTAGGTTGCTAACAAAATGAGGTAGTAATGTTGAATATTTGGCATGTCACTGGACTCAGAATTTCTTGGTATACAGCTACATTCTCTTAATTCAATAAATAGAAAGATTTGTTCCAATAGTGTTTGTGGGCAGGATATCATGTCTGCATCTTGTACCCATGAATAACCACTAAGACAACAATATGCACTGTATTAATTATTGAAACTGTCCTACTAACCAGTTTTGAGACTGTCTCTTGTCTCCCACAAGAGAAAGAGACAAGACAAATTTTATTTGTTTCTCAATAAAATTATTTTTAAAAAATAATTTCTTAGACTTTTTAATATTTGTTA